AAAAGGAATCAGGATGGAACCTTAAATAAATTAAAAGCAAGACTGGTAGCCCGAGGAAACGAACAGAGAAAAGGAATCGATTTCGACGATGTGTTTGCACCAGTAGCCAGGTATGAAATGATACGAACTTTGTTTGCAGGAGCGGTGGAGAACAAAATGCACGTTCACCACATGGACGTCGTCGCCGCATATGTGCAAGGGGAGCTAACAGATACCCTGTACATGCAACAACCAGAGATGTTCGTACCACCAGCTGGAGAGAATAAGGTATGCAAGCTCAAAAAACCACTGTATGGTCTCAAACAAGCGGGACGAGAATGGTACCAAACCCTGGACAAGTACCTGAAAAGAATGGGCTTAACAAATTCTCAAATTAATCCGTGTGTTTATCTAGACAATACTAGAAGCACAGACTTAGTAATAATTGTGTACGTTGATGATCTAATACTAGCATCGAGCGATTTGCAAGAACTAATAAGAGTACAGGGTTTACTGAAAAGAAGATTTGAGATTAATGATTTAGGCAAAGCAACGAACATCCTAGGCATATCTATCCAAAGGAGAGGCGACACTGGGCAAATCAAGATGTCGCAACGCAAGTACATAGAGGAAACATTAAAGAAATTCGGCATGGAGGATTGCAAACCTGCAAGCACACCATTAGAGCCTCACGAGACATTTAACCAAGAAGACACGGATACAAAGGACGTAACGAAAGTACCGTACACAGAACTCGTAGGAGCCTTGATATATTTGTCAAATGCCACTCGACCAGACATAGCATTCGCCGCAAACGTCCTCAGCCAATTCAACGAAAACCCTTCCAATTATCATTGGAAAGCTGCGAAACATGTTTTACGATATTTGAAATATACTATTGATTACGGTATAAATTATACAGTTACAGGTAAACAATTGGAGTTATACGTTGACGCTGATTGGGCAGGAGACGAGAACGGAAGGAGATCTCGCTCAGCATACGTGAGCTTGCTGGCGGGAGGTCCCATCAGCTGGGAAACTAAGAAGCAAAAATCCGTCGCTCTCTCAACCATGGAGGCGGAATATGTGGCGCTTTCAGAAGCAACGAAGGAAGCAATATACTTGAAAAGACTGTTAACGCATATGAACTTTAATAGCTTTGTGCACGGTAAAACTACTATATATTGCGATAACCAAAGTGCAATTCAAATAAGCAAAAATAATATGTACCATCGTA